TTTGCTGGTGTTCGTGTTCTTTTGCATTTTTTTTTTAAATAATAAATAATATGCCAAACGTGGCTTTTCTTCATCTCCTTGGAGATGCAATAATGGAGGAAACACACTCAAACACTACAACCTAACCAAATCACATATGACCATTCATATTGATCACGTATCACATGGTTATTCCAAAAAAAAAAAAGATGAAATAAAAAAAATAGAAATTTCAAAGAGCAATACTATTGCATAGCGGAAGCAAATTTATGAATCCCACCGGTGGGTTTAATATTCTAACCCACCGGCAGGGAGAGAATTTGTGTGAACGGTCCCAAGATTTAACCTGCTCTTGATACCATGACAAATTATTTATGAGAGAATAGTTTTAATTGTATTGATGATCTTGGCTAATATTTATAGTCTACATAAGATAACCTACACAATATAAACTCTTTCATATAAACTTCCATAAATCTATCTTAGAATATCACTAAGATATATTATTATCCTAAATATAATATCATAAGATATATATGGAAAATATATCACAATAATATATTTTCCTATATTCCCAACACTTGATGACTTTCTTCTAATCATTATTATCTTGGTGGTTATGATCTTGCTTTCCTCTATTCTAGTACTTCTTTTCTTTTGGAGGGGGGCCGGTTTGGCAAAGAGCTATAGATTTCTGTCAATAAGTTAAATATATAAAAAGCAAAATGTTTTCAATTTGAACAATATATAAATAAGCTCGATCAAGACTCATTTTGCTACGCATATACACGAACATAAAGAACGAAATATGAACATTGTGAACCATAAACATTGTAGTGCTTGACTCATTAATGTTTATCAACAACATTGTGTAATACCCCGTATTTTTATACATATTTTAATTTTAAAAAGTATTTCTTAAAGTATTTAAATAATTTGAAATGAATTATTTGTGGAGTTTCATTAATTTAAAAAGAACTATTTTAATTAAAAGTTTATTTTTATTTATTTAATAATCTTGAAAATATTTTATTTCATGATTTGGAAATATTGGGACATATCATTTTATAAAAGGAAATTTTAAAGTCAATGAGTTTTTAAAGAAAGTCAAAATACTAGTTTGACTAGGAAAGGGATCATTAAGGGTAAAAAGGGAATTTAAGTTAAGGAGGGTTTTAGAATACCCATCACATGGGCAAATTAAACTTTGTCCAAGGTGGAGAATACCCAAAGGTAACTTTCTTTCTCTCTCCTCTTAATTTTCTCCCTTTCTCTTAATTTTTCTCCTTCCCCTTTTATTTTAATTTTAATGTTTTTCACACACCACCACCACACACACCTCATGGTGGCCGGTTGCCACTACCACCACGGCCGGCCGCCGTCGCCAGCACAGGGCCGGCAGCAGCAACAATCGTGGGAGGTGGCGCCAGCCACCCCCCTTTTCTTCCCATTGTGCGTGCGTGTGTTTGTATATAAAAAAAAATCTTCTTTTGATTTTTAATTCAATCCATCCTTAATCTAATTATTATTTTTGGGTTTTGTGATGATTTTTATGATGCTTGATAATAAGTATTTTGTATATAAATTTTCAGATTTGGTTTTGAATTAAAAAGCCCCAAATTATAAACCATAGGTTTCTAAGTTTATGTATATTGATGGAAATGGAAATTGTTTATGGGTGATTTAAATTATTGAAATAAGTGTTTTAAAACACAACTATAGCAATTTTAGATGATTTAATAAAGCTGGAATTTTTATATATAACCTATAATTATGTTTCTTGAAAGGATTTTTAATTACCCATTAATTGAGAATAAAAGTAAGGGCTTTAAATTAAATTTCAGCTTATTTTAGAGGGTTTATGAGTGATTTAAAGAGTGTATATATTGCTGGAAATTTGTGTGGAATAGGTATTAATGTCTCTTTGTAATTTTGGTTTGTATGAGACTTCCAAGTGAGTGATTTTATTTAGTCGTGACCATTTTGAGATTATATTCAAGGTACGTTTGCGCACTTGGTAATTATTTGAATATGTAGAAGCATGCTAGGCTTTGTTTAATTAATTCCAAGTAGTATCATGATACGTGTTGGCTGGAATTTGTTGATTGGATTGATGTTGGTAAATGATTTGTGATGTATGCATTATTTATGATGAATTGGTGATTGGAATTAATTTTGTTGGCATGTTGCTTATGAACCACACTTTTATTATTGGCATGATAGAGAACATGCTTGATTAAACTATATGTTTAATTTGGTTTGGAATATAAAAAGGGAATTTTATTATGGTTCATATAATTTTTATCGATGCTTTAAACATGGGAATTGAACTATTAAGTGTCTTAGTACACAGGAATAAATTATATTGCGGTACCTATGTGCACTTAAGGTGTTACAAGTGTTTCTAACACTGAGGGATAGGATTTGCGACGCATTATGTGTTTAAGGTGTCTTTGACACCGAGGTAGAATAAAAAGGTTCAACAATTAAATTTATGTGGTCATTAATTATTCAAGAATTAAATTGGTTTGTTTGATTGCTTGAATGAAGTGTAATGTTTGATTGTGTTATGGTTTGAGAGTCATCACCAAATATAATAATATGTAAACAACGTAAAGTGTAAGAGATTACGCACCAAAACTCTTGGAACGTATATATCTTGAGTATGAGCATATGGGGGGAGTTATGGGGTTTTATATTTAACCATGAGTTCTACTGGGAGTACAAGACGCTGTATTTTCCTTTTTATTTATTTTATGCACATGACGTCCAGTCATTTCATGTGACATTTGCCTACTCGGTTAGCTCCCTGTGTAGTTTACCTCAATTTATTTGGGGCAGGGATTTGGTGGGAAACCCGTTCAATGCATAATCAAATTAAATAAGCAATTCATTTATTTATTGGTTGGTCGTTTGGTATGTTGTATGCTTGTAAACAGGTGCAACATGGTAAGTTGCGTGATGATAAGATGAAAGCATGTTAGTGTGTTTTTATTACACTTATGTACTCAGCATTGCTGATTGTGTGTTATATGTTTGTTTGGCCTTGTTTTTACCTTGACCTTACGACGACCCATTTCTAATGGCGAGTAGTGGGGACAAGTAGAGAGAAGTTTTTCAGGTGATAAAGCATATTCATGATGGACATGAGTGAAGAGCTAATCATGCTTAGTTTCTATAGGAATATGATGTGTTTTATCTACTTTGAATATTATTTATTTTATTATGCTCATGAGACTAACGCAAAGGTTTTCAGTATTGTTTGGTTTTAAGGGCTTACAATGGTTCCAAGTTGTAGATTGACTTTATTTGACTTTACTTTCTTTTGGTTTGATTTTTGAGTTGACTTGTTTTGAATGGTTTTAAAAATAGTCTTCCGCTGCGTGTCTTTGATATTTGCCTAAGCCGTTTTCACGGTGGCGGTAATGTCTTTTATTTTTCTATTTCGTATTTTAAAAAGGCAAATAGGTATTTTAAAGAAAAGAAATTTCTAGAGTGTTACACATTATCATGTTTTTATATTGATCAATTGTTTCTGGTCAAGTGGTCATACAATCTGGTACAAGAATTTGTTAGGAAGGAATATACGTGTAAGAGAGTTTTGCAACTAGTAGTAGTTAATAAAATTACCTTGGATCAACAATATTAAAAATTGGTGCAGTGGGCCCAATGTGTTCATTATGGTATCATATTCCAATATTCCATTAAGATTGTCTAAAATCGAGATAAAAGAAATGTGTTTGGGTAAGAGTAATAGCACTTTTGACCCAATTAGATAAGAGTACTCTATTAATATTATAATTAGGGATCCAATAATTAGAAGCCAACGCAGTAATTAACTTAATGTTAGCATTGATTATGATTATGCAAAGAGCTTATAAAATTTGTTGAAATTGATGGGTGTCAGTCAGGTAGCATGTAAGTGACGTATACTGTAGTGAAAACACCATATTAATTATTTATATTTATGATATCACCCCTTTTAGTACATTTTTATACATAGTGGGTGTAATTTTTTTAAAGTAAAGAAAATGACCTTACTGAATGCAATTTTGTAGCTTTGATTTATTGAAAGTGAGGAGAAAGATTTGAGAAATCCCACCTCGAAAAAATTTCTTTACCCTGTTTAACATTTGATCTCATGATCTAGTTTGTGAGACGACTTGTCTTTACCACTAGACGAAGACTAGCTCAATGTATTCGAGAATAGACTCAAAGAAGTGAGCGTAGGGTAGTTTATCAATAGGAAAAAAGGGGGGAGAGAGAGAGGGTGAACATTAATTGATTTGAAAAGGGAACCACTTTGATAGATTTGTCCTTGTCTTTTAGGCCCAACCACTACACTATTGTCTTTAACTTCTGAATTATTGAAACATAGCCGAGCTAGTGGCAAATGGTATCCTATTATCTATCAATTCTTAGGAATCGTTAAGATAGGTTTTTGGCTCCATAGGCATTAACTCATCAACCAAAATATCAGGTTTTAGTATTTTTATGATTTTAAACATTGGATGTAGAGTCAGTTAAAGTAATGATATAAAACGATTCAATTAAAGTAATGATATAAAACGAGATTTGATCTCAGATTTTAAATACGATTTTCAACACTTTAACTAACTAAGTAAATTGACATTTAAAAAAAGTTTAAATAAAAGTAAAATATAACCGAAAGTGCAATCATGAAATTAGTTTGTTATGAATCTTATGATTATTATACCACACTAAATAACTCCATGTGGTTTTATTTATTGCCCTCTTCTATCATAGCTGAGAGCCAATCCTTGGACTTAGTATCACACCGTACATTGCTATGCATACTCAATCTAATTTCCAATAGATTATGTATCTTTATGAGTAGAAAATACGAAGTATCAAAGATTAAGGTTATGCACATCTGAAGCCATGACTAGTTGGATGTAAGAAAAACAAATTTTGAAAGCATGAGTAATGAAATTAAGCAGAGTTAGTAGTCCATACGGAAGAGGTTGAAAGCCTCCGCCGAAGCAGGATTGAAATGCCCATACAATCATAACTCACCCTTCGACATTGAGAAAGAAGCTTAATGTAATTATACAGTGTAGCTGGGTAAACAAAATGAATAAGGTATCGAATAAGTTACAAAATTCTTTTTCACAGGGAAGTTAGTGATACAACAAATGGCATGGCAACAAACACATTCTACCTTAGAATTACATGAGAGAAGCCTCAAGCTCTGAACCATGTGTAAATAACTTCAATAAAAATAAATGAAGAGCTACTAATAATCTTTTATATCATTGTTTAAATTTCTTATCATTTCTAGTCTTCTTTCTGAAATCGCGTTTCTCATCAGAATACTGCTTTTTTCTCAATAAACTGCTCATTGCAGCATTTAGGGCATCAGCAGCAGCAGAGAAAACCGTACTCTCTACAGACACACTTCCTTGCAACTTCTCTAGCAATTGATCTCCTCCAGGTACCTCTGTATCTTCCAAAACTCTAGGCTCAAGATCTGAATCATTGGACTTTTTCTTAAAACATGACACAGCTCTGATGCGTGCAAAGGATGACTCTTTGGTACCAGGTAAATTTGAGGCACCAGTAACCATCCATAACAAGTTTCCTGACAACTTCGTCCCAAGTCTTGTTGGGATGAATGTTTCTCCGGGTACAGGAACCACCTGCAGATAGTGTAGGTTAATCCCTCTGAAACTTCTTTTGCTAATAAATCTTTACAATGTTGTCACATGGTGGACAAAATGCCGGCAATAGAACAAGTCCAGTATCTGCAAGTGTTCTTGAGGCATAGATACAAAAACTCAGCTCAATTAAAGATTAGAGGACAAAATTGGATGCAAAGGTGCTTACACATTTGATCCTGAGATTCCTGGCAATAAAGTACTCAGACTAATACATTACTAGCTAGAGGGACCAGTGACCATCTAATGGGGTAAGGTGGGTCAAGGGTTGGACAACAGGGACAGGACAGCAGTTTACAACCGTTTTCCTGTTCCACGAAAATTAATCTCTCACTAAATTTAATATGAACCTACCTTGAGCATGGAAAGCCTTTTGGCTGAGAGGTCACAGCTCAATAATAATATCCCTTGCAAGCTGAAATACAAAAGAAGAAATCATATGAGAAAATGTGGGACTAAGACAAGGATTTAATTATAAATCTAAAGAACAAGCCTAATATCAGGACATCGACAAGAGCAAATCAAAAGACAAAGGAATTTCAAGAGCTTGCCTCTGAATTGCGACTGCAACTAATGACCCATCAGCAGTGGCATATAGATCAGTAACAGCCGGATGGCTTTCCTCTGATAAATTTGCCTTCATTAACCAGAGCAACATGCGTGAGGCTTTGACAAATTAACATCGACAATAAATACAGAGAATATCTAAAAAGCAAAATAATTTTTACGAGACAATATGCATTATCCACCTAATTAGCTTTAGATTGAGATCATTAATAATAGCTATCGACCTATCGTACTTCAAAAGGACAAAAAAATAAACTGTAAAAATTCCACACAACTCAAATTTATTACAATTAGACTCAAATTAACAAATAATCACTTTTGTAGCAAAGGTAGCACAAGAGGCAAGTAAATTCCAAGCCTTTGCCTGAACAGTCTTTCTCAATCCTTGCAGCAGGCCAAGATGTCTGCAGTAATTTGATTTTCATCACATATAACCCTAAACAACCAAGAAAAACTAATGGCTCGAAATGGCACGGTTGAACCTCAACAACTTAATGTGAAGCATATCTAGACTGTTAGCTCAACACTATGCTTATGTCAAGTAGCTAAATACATAACCTGCCTACTTGTTACTCCAAAGTTGACAATTTTCTAAACTCAATTGACGTAATCAGCTTATTGATTTACCATAGGTAGACAGGTCCAGTTTTCTTTTAATTCAGACAATGATAATTCAAGAGTAGGAGTTGAACGGAAATGCAGGCAAAATTTTATTCCTTGTGCATAATGACATACCTCTCTTCCAACATCACTTGTGCAAAGAAGTGACCCAGATGTAACATCCCACATGCAAACCTGAAAACAAAGAGAAATCAGAATCCAATATAAACTGGCCCTCTTCCACAGAAGCAAAAAAAAAAAAAAAAAAAGATCTCACTCACAGTTGAATCACCACTTCCTGACACGAGAAAGCCCTGTGGGAAATCTGAGTTGTGCACAAAAGTGAGGCATGACACGAACCTGGAAAAAGATAAACAAAAAAGAACTTATTGAACGCTGTATAATACTGGTAATCAGGCTGCATAGAAGTCCAAACTCCAAATGTGCAACATACCATCGTGGCCTAACTTAACTAATTAATGACTAAGAAAGATAGAAGCACAATTTGTTCAAAATGCTATGTAAAAATACTTATTATTTGTTGCATAAGTTTGTTTGAGGGAATGGAGAAAATTAGAAGTCCAAATGAACTATGTGATTCTAACAATCTGATTCAACTTCAAATAGTGAAAGAAATAGCTATCAAGAATTCATGAATTTGGATATGTCAGATGGATTAGATATTATAAGCAAATTCCAAGCAGAAATATATAATTTGTGAAAACCTTTTCACATTCTAAGAAATGATTGTACATTCGCATTAAGTATCAAGGCATGCATCTAAGACGAAAGGCATAATCTTATCATTATCCACTCTGATAAAAAAAAAAAAAATAAGCAGGAATGAGGATAGAAAGATAGACTCACTCTGAATGACCAAGACAGAAGCTCTGAATCTCATGGACTCCTTTCAAGGGATATTTGGGGAACACACTAACCTGTGACAAGAAAGTTATTCAATAAAGCAAGTTCAAGAGATTACGGTCTGAATACTTATACAGAGAAAAGGACAAAAGGTTACACGAATTTTGAAGTCCCGGTCAGCACTGACTATGAAACGTCCATCAGGCGAGAATTCCTGCAAGGAACAACAAGAGTTTCAAAACATGACCATGCATATATAAGAGGTAAAGTGGTGGGCATTGGACGCTACTGATTTACATACCAGACTAGTAATGATGCTACAGTAGTGGCCAAAAATTGCCACAGCATTCTTGTCGGGGTTAGGCTGATTTTCAGCAAGCCCTACAAGATCTACAATCCAAACAACTCCGAATTTGTCCGCAAAACAGACATATTGCTCATCTTTGCTAATAGCAACTGCGCTAACTCTTTTCTCCGAATTTCTGTTTCATAAATAATCTAGAATACATCATAAGGTGAAAAGGGAATGTCTAAGAAAATGCAATCACTGCAACAACAGACGAAGACATTAATTTTAAACAAGATACATGCTATCCAGAAAACAGGTTAGCCAACTAGCTTCAAGTTTAGTAATCACATAATAGGCATCCTAATTAAGATTGGCAGGGTATAACTGTGTAAGGCTCAAGACCTTAATAACATAAAATAAGTTCTACTAATCATAATATGTTCCTGGCGCTTGATAATAGAAGCAAACTCGTACAGTAAAAATATTTCCACAACCAAGACCCTCGACAAATTAGGAAAACTTACACAGTACAAAGGCATTGCCAGGATTCCGCGCCCCATATCTTAACAAGCTTGTCATCACCGGCAGATACCAATAGCTTTCCCGAGTCACTAAAACGTAAAGCTCTAATAGAATCTCTATGTAGCATCTCCTTGGATTCATCTGCCAAAGAGACTGCACAATTTTTACTGCAAATGTGATAAAAACTCAGTATTCAACCTTCAAACATTACTATTGCACAAATAACCACCATGTTCAACTTTACATTCTATATAACACAATCATTCACTAAAACCACTTGATCACTAAAAACTAATCATTCCAAAGAACAAGAAAAATCATAATAGCACACCCTTTTGAATATTCAAGTCAATTAAACTTCCTCACATCAAAGCATACATTAATGAGAAACCCCATTAACCCATTTTCAGAAATTGAGTTCCCCATCTAATAAAACCAAAATTTCAGAACTTTTTTCAAACCAAATCAACATAAAGCAATGACATTAATAACAGTAACTAACCATCATAATGAAGTAATTAGTGAAAGAAAATTGGCTTACACAAGATTGAAAATTCGGAGCTCCGAACCAACAGTTACTGCAATGGATTGATCGAAGGGGTGAAGAGCAATAAGAGCAGGAGCAACCTCAGTTTGTAAGTAGGAATCTTTTTCCTCCAATTGGGTATCTTCGGTTTCCTTCTCCTCCATCTGGGTTTCGTTTGTTTCAGTCTTGAATTCTTCCTTCATCTGAGCTTCCTCCATTGTTGATATTACTCCAATTTCCCCAAATTTGGTTCCTTAATTTTTAGGGTTTTGCAGGGTTTAGCAAATTATTCAGAGTAACAGGAGAGGAGTCAAAGTTGGTCGTGTGTTTGTGACTTGTGATTTTGTGAAGTTGCGAGTTGTGACAGTGTTGGGCTTCTGCTGCAGAGGTTCATCTTCTGTAAACCACTTGGGCTGACGGTTAGTCACAGATAAAAAATGTATACGGGTCATTTACATATTTTTCATGTTTTTTTTTTCTCTGGTAAATTTATCATTTAAACCCTTGTTAATTTATCATGGGTAATGCTATATATAGCCCTGGTTGGTACGCTTATTAGTTTAGAAATACATGATAAAATCACGCATAAATCAGTGTAATTAATGAATATATTTCATTAATATTTTCCTCTTTTAGGTTCTTATACATAACACTTAGGTTTTGTATAGCATTTTCTTATAAAAATATACGCCTTTAAATTAAAAACATAAAACATACTAACCTCTTCCCTCCCAAAAAAATTATTCATACGGGAAAAGACACACCTTTAGATAAGGTGTGTGTACAACTGCAAAGGGAGGAGCATTAGGAACGACTATTCAAGTACTTAGTTAAATTTTATTATTGCTTAACTAAAAATCAAATCTCAATTGAGGTTAAATATTAATGTTTTTTTCTATAAAAAAAAAAAACAAATATTAATGTTTTTACTATAAGCCTTCCAAAAAGAAGCTAGCAACCTAGTACATTTTGTCCAACCCAAATTCTAAATTTATCGTTCCGTAATAAGGTAGGGATAGTTATGAAATAGGATTACTTGTGAGTTACTTGAACTTAACTCTCAAAATTCATTATCAAGCGTTAGTAAACGCAAAATGTCTAAATCTAACCTACCCGTATCATTTAACAGAGAGGTGATACCAAGTACCAACTACCATGAGTCCAAGACAAGACAATTTGAGAGCTACTAAGGCTTGTGATCAACAACCGATCAAAACTCAACTGCGGAGTACATTAAACTTAACCTTAACCGAAATGATTTAGCAAGTCGAGTGGAGTTGCTCAAGTAAAATTAGAGAAAGGAAAAGAAACAAGAAAAAAAAAGTATGGAGAAGCAGAAGCAGCTCTCTTCCTACTGTTGCATACCCCATGGATTCCACCGAATTGCTTCTACTAACCCTAACAAATTAGCCATTATTCACGCTACAAAACGCCCCAAAAATCTTACTTCTAACAAAACTAACTCTAGCAAGGCTAATCCTCCAGTATATGACGGCGACAAGTTCTTCACTTTCTCCGAGCTATCATCTGCCGTCGATTCCCTCAGTTTCAGGCTTCATCACATTTTCAACGGTGGTGATGATCCCTCCTTAATCAAACCCACCTCAGGTAACATCAAATCAAATGTTACAACAAAAATAATAGGAATTTACATGGTACCTTCAGTAGAATATGTAATTACTGTTCTTTCTATCTTAGAGTTTGGTGGGGTTTTTCTACCTCTTGATCCTTCTTGGCCTAAAGATAGGATTTTGTCTATAATTTCATGTTCAAATGTTGACATTATAATTGGGTGTTCGAATATTGATAAAATTAGTAGTACCCACTTGGTTGATGAATCACATTGGCTTGTAAATTGCTGCAAATGTCATGTTTTATGCATAAATTTTGATGGGGTTCTTGAACAAAAATGTGGGAAATTGGATTTGGGTTGGCCTTGTGAAAGTGGGAAATTGAGAAATTTTAGCTATTTGATGTATACTTCTGGGTCTACTGGTAAACCTAAAGGTGTTTGTGGGACAGAAGAAGGGATTTTGAATAGGTTTTTGTGGATGCAGGAGTTTTATCCATTGAAAGAGGATGATGTTTTGATATTCAAGACATCTATAAGTTTTGTTGACCATCTTCAAGAGTTTTTAGCTCCTATGCTAGCAGGATGTACTTTGGTGGTGCCCCCTTTTGATGAATTAAAGGGGAATTTTTATGGTCTTGTTGATTTTCTGCATGATTACTCTATTACTAGAATAACCGCTGTTCCATCGTTAATGAGGGCGCTTCTTCCTGCTTTAGAGGGACGGTATTCCGAGCAAGGGCTGTCTTCATTGAAGTTGTTGTTATTGAGTGGTGAAGTTTTTCCTATATCTTTATGGGAGATGCTTTCTAGGATATTGCCTAAGGCTTCTATTATCTTGAATATATATGGAAGCACTGAGGTCTCTGGTGATTGTACTTACTTTGACTGCAAATGGTTACCAGAAATGCTTAAAAGTGAGGTGTTGAGCAGTGTTCCTATTGGTAAGCCAATTTCTAATTGTGATGTTAAGCTTATTGAGAAAGATGGGAACTGTGATGAAGGAGAGATATGTGTAACGGGTGTATGTCTTTCGAGAGGCTATTATGTTGATGCTAATATTATGCCCTTGGGCAATGAGGGATTGAGAGAAGAATTTGTTTCTGATCATGGGTGTCAGAGTAGTAAGCTTTACTATAGAACGGGTGACTTTGCTAGAAGGCTTCCAAGTGGTGACTTGGTTTATTGTGGAAGAGAAGATCGCACCATTAAAGTTAATGGACAACGTATTGCGCTGGAGGAGGTAGAGGATACATTAAGAGGACACACAGACATATTGGATGCTGCTGTAATTTCCTGTAATGAGGAGGAAGGGCATGCCTTTCTTAAAGCGGTTCTAGTGTTGAAAGACAATGGCAAGTCATCTCAAATTTTGGCAGCTGTAAAAAGTTGGATGGTTGACAGACTTCCTTCAGTTATGATTCCCAAGGAATTTATTTGTACTGAAGCCCTTCCTATGTCTTCTACAGGAAAAGTTGATTATATGTCACTACCTAGATTTTTTGCTCCCGTTGATGGTTCAAACAAGAGTCATGTTGAGCTTGGCAAAACCTTAGACTGTATTAAAGAAGCTTTTTGTAATTCTTTGGGTGTTGCAGACATTGGCAGTGATGACGACTTCTTTGCAATGGGTGGTGATTCGATAATTGCAGCTCATGTAGCTCATAACTTAGGAATTGATATGAGATTGCTGTACATGTTTCCAAGTCCGTCAGAGCTTCAGAAGGCTCTTGCAGAGAAAGAAGGTCTTTTAGAGGTTGACCACCAAGTAAAGTGGGAAACTTTGCCCAAAGCTCAGAAAGTTGACTTGCCTCATTCATCTGATTCTGGATTAGTTAAGCCCAGGAAACACGGAGAAACTACATGGACTGACAGTGATGAGCAAAGAAAATCTAAGCATCTTAGGGTAGTTTCTGATTTACATTCAAATCTCAAGGGTGTAACCTCACTTAGTTCCATTCTATGGGAATCTCATTCGATGCCAGGCGAATGTGCAATCAGCCGTTGCAATAAGGTTACCTACAATAGCGACTGTGATTTACATATCAAGTGGCCTACCCAGGAATTTGAACTTCCTAGTAACAGAAAAGGGTCATTACGAGAAATATGGAAAGTTCCCTTGGACTCTTGTGTTGATGCATCACCATTAGTTACTTTCAAAGATAACCAAATCTTACTATTTATAGGGTCTCACTCCCACAAATTTCTCTGTGTTAATGCTAGAAATGGTTCCATAAGATGGGAGATTAAATTAGAAGGTCGAGTGGAATGTTTGGCTATGATTGATGGAGATTTCTCTCAGGTTGTAGTTGGGTGCTACGAAGGAAACATATACTTTGTTGATATGATGAAGGGAACCATAAACTGGACTTTTCAAACAGGTGGTGAAGTGAAGTCACAACCCACCATAGACAAGTGCAGGAACCTCATATGGTGTGGCTCACATGATCATAATCTGTATGCTCTAGATTATAGAAATTATCGCTGTGTCTATCAATTCCCTTGCACAGGAAGTGTATTTGGCTCCCCTGCAATCGATGAGGCTCGTGATATGCTTTACCTGGGCACAACCAATGGAAATTTGACAGCTATAATGTTAAAGGCTTCTGCATTCTCTGTTGTGTGGCAGCTTGAACTTGAAGCTCCGATATTTGGATCTCTTTCCATAAGTTCTGATGACCATGTGTTATGCTGCTTAGTTAACGGGGATGTTCTCTCTTTAAACTCGAAAGGATCAATTGTTTGGAGGGTGAAAACTGATGGTCCAATATTTGCCGGACCATGCATCTCTAAGGCACTTGGTTTTCAGGCTCTGGTATGTTCTAGGAATGGGAATGTTTACTCCTTTGAGTTGGAAAAGGGAAGAATTTTGTGGAAGGACAATGTAGGAGATCCAATTACATCTTCAGCTTTTGTCGATGAAAATATAAAGTTGATATCTGATCCTTCTTTTCCTTCAGAAAGATTGGTTTGCATTTCCTCCAGTTCTGGTAGAATTATTCTGCTTCAGGTAAGCTGTGTTACTACTAAAGATAATACAGTAGAAGAGGTTGTTAAGAAATTTGCAGAAATTGATGTTCAAGGAGACGTATTCTCTTCACCAGTCATGGTTGGTGGACGGATTTTTGTAGGTTGCAGGGATGATTATTTGCACTGCATTGTTGTTGAAGACTTGAAGCACGATGGCTAATGAATTGACTGCCTGTGTAAATTGTAGATACATGGCCATTTTCATTTTTTAAGAGTTTGTACATACTGTCTAATAGGTTCAGACTTCTGACATGGATTGACCTAATTGACATTTTTGCGTACCCTTTCGGGGTTGTAGATTCAGTAAGGTTTAAATGTGGATGTTAGAGAAGTGAAAGACGTTTCAAGGGAAGACAATGGTATATATATGTTAGTTCAGGGACAGAGTAGTAAACAAGATGTAATTTGCTTAAATTATTACGTAGTACTTCTATTGTAAAGACTAAAGATTTCCAAATGTAAAGTTAAAATCTGAAACTATTTGAAAGTTTTTTTTTTTCATCTCCTGTTGTTAAAATTTGGACGTTGTACCATTGGCTTGCATATCTATGGATGAATGGAATAATATGAATTCCGAGATTATGGGCTGATGCTATGTCTCAAAGAAATTTCACAGGCACACAGTCGAAAAGTAGACATTTCTAGATACATTTAGGCATTTAGCTCATCCAAACTGTGATAATGAAAGGTAAACATCAAAACATGGACAATAATTTGGGGAAAAAGGTTGTAAAGAAATACCATTTTTGTTTTTTTCATGTGTCCCTCCATTTCTTAAAAAGGGTAAAAATACATCTTAATTTATACTGATAATTTACTAATTTAATATACCTCCGCAATACAAAGTTTTTTCACCTTAATTATTGATCACCGCCAAAAAATAAAATAAAAGAATACACATAAAAAAAAAAAAAAAACTAACTTAGAAAGTAATGCTCAATCTTCATTCCAACATCTTCAGCACCCAAAGGGGTTAAACATATTGTAATTGTTAAATTGCTCTAAGAATTGGCCAATTCTTCAAGAAACTTTACAAGTTTACATTCCACATTGATCTGTTGCCTGTATAAACTTCAAGCATTTCATGATCAAGCGATAAGAAACCAGTTACAACTTACAACACAATTCAAGGGGAATAGACATTAGAGAATAACAAATGTTCCCCTGCGCGCTCATGGTGCCAAACTTCAAAACAGGGGCACCATTCTTACAAAAGAACACATCCTTGAAAAGATCTTTAAATTCTCAATTGTGTACATCCAAGTATAGTTCCACGGCACCTGGACATAGGAGCAACTCGGCGCCAGTTTGGTCTTTCACTCCCTACAGTCAGGACGTCAACATCAGAGGTCGGCTTGATGTCTCGGTTGCATCGATCAGGACCGATCACACCTCCAACTACATATATGTCTCCATCTAATCCAATCATTGCAGACCCAATTCTCTTTCTTACCTCTGATGCTGAAACGATGACTTTTCTTTTATCGCTTTCCTGCTTACAAATAAGGCCATGGCTCATGACGTAAAGAACTCCATTAACTACAGCCATTGGACCCTGAAGCCAACCATAGTCTTCAACCATCCAACCGTCAGAAGGCCTCTCAAGGACCTGCACCATTGAGAGCCCCTTGTGCACAACATGCATTTTGCCCCCAATGACCATTCCAGAGCATGCTGAGTTATGAGTGTAAGGAAGATCAGGAATCGAGACCCATGTATCCTTTTCAGGATCATAAACTTCAGCCTGAGCAATTGATTTTCGGCAGATAGTGAAACCGCCAGCAACAATGATCTTTCCATCCAAGACACAGCACGCAAACATTGCACGAGGCACCAGCATGGGAGCACACTGGGCCCACTTCCTCATGACAGGATCATAAGACCATACTTCATTGGTTGCGAAGCTCCCATCCTGATCACCAGTTGATGGGTCAACAGCTTCACTCCCACCACCAAGCACAAATAGCTTCCCACCAGTGGAGACAGCCCCAAAGTGAGCAAGATGCCTAATTTTTGATGGGAAAACAGGGAGTGTGATCCAAATGTCGTGAAGGGGATCATAAAGCTGCCATAGATTATCTGGATCAAAAGCACATACACACAGAAACTCCTCTGATGAACCTACCTCTTCCCTGGCCTTATAAAGCTCACAGCTGCGAAGAGCATCTCTCCAAGTACGACTTACAAGTTCTAACTTGGGGTGAAGGTTAAAAGGAACATGAGCAAGGCACCTGAGGGCAACAGCATCTGGAAGACCTTCAATCAGCACAGACATGATAAAATAGAATCACATCCGTTACGTGTGAAGACAATTGATGTTGGTTGAAACCCTGAGTAGAACTTTCATACAACCTGAAATAAGAGTTATTGTACCCACACATCATTAATGCAGGTCAGAATAGTTTAGAGCACATATTAAGAGAAAGGCACTGAAATTTTTCTGAATCTAATATATTCTATCAACGGGAAAATAGCAATAATCTAGCAGCAATATTCATGTAAAACCACCGTTTTACTATCAACCAGTAAATCAGCATTTCATTTCATGATCATCACAAATCACACCACTAAAGGGAAATGCAACAGTTGGTTATAAGACATATACCACTTGAAAGCAACACTTATAAACATGAAACATACAAACATTTACAAGACGACTACAACAATATGAATACTCTACTTGAGGAATGGCAATCAATTCATGCATAACTAACAACTAAAAGTGGTTAGGATTTGCTGTATAGGTTACATAAATTTCATCAAGGGTAACGAGTTACATTATATATGTGAACAGTCACACGGGATAAACAAGGAATGTTGAAGGTAAAGTCACATGGGTTATTCCAATCTCCTCTATTCCAAAGGCTTCAAATTCTAAGAAAATAAAGAAAAAACATGTAAAAAAATGCAAAGAATACAAGTTTTCTGAAATCAGAGGGAAGAGCAATAAAAACATGTCATCTGTTGATAAGTAGGTTTATAAAAAAATAAAAAAAAATAATAAAAAAAAAGACTTGGTTGGAGAGCCTCTGTTGTGTACCCAAGGCTACGTTAGCTCACTTGCCAATTTTGCTCATTTAAAGACTTTCAAATGAACAAAAAAAAAACCTTGAATACACCTAGCTCTATCCTCTAGGGGTACCACATCTATGAATTTGCACCCTTGTTAGAGTGACCTATCTCAGCTCAACCAGTGAGCAAAATAATGTATACATATTTCTTAAACCTTATTCTACTTAAAAGGTCTAGGTTGGGTTCATACAGGTCAAGCAATGCCATAAATATATTCCACATTCTTTATGCCCAAACAACATCAAGCCCCCATTTTAATAGAATCCATCAACTTCCCTGCTTTTAACCAAAGCTCCACTTACCCCCTCTTCTGGCCCAATGTTGCTAATTACTCTAAACCTCCACGCACCACATATTATAATACAAAAGGTGTAATTTTGGCCTAAGTTAACAAGTTAGATAGCGAATTACATATCGTATTGAATCCAACACTCGCACATTAGGTAACTTTGTTCCGGCGGAGGCCACATGCCTACAGCTGTTCATCCAACACTACCAAAACACTGTTATTTAATCCAAAACCCATCACCCTTATGCTGTATTACCTATCTCCTCACGGACTTACTGGACTGCAAAGACAATCTAATGCACTATGAACTTGCAGATAGGTCTAGTAGAATGAAAGCTTCAGAAGCTCATTGCATGTGTCAGTATAGAAAGGGAGAAAAGGAACCGGTAACACCACCACCACCCTAATCAGTAATCGACCAGAACTAACAAGGAACGCATAACCACCGCTGATGACTCAAGACTTAAGCTTCCAACATCTTGGTGCTGCCTCCAATCCCAAAAGCTGCTAGAGTCATGCCTAGAGAATAATTAATATATCTTCTTACAATCAAGCCAACACACCCTAAATTCAAAGATTGATCGACTCAATTTCAGGCCATCCATGCATTCAACAACATTTGTAGATTGGGACAAACCTACCACAGGTCACACATCACAAGAAAATGGACAAAGACGGAAAGAATATCAAGAAATCCCAATGAAAGATGGTTTGAGAGATACACTATAAGGCAGAGGGGGGGGGGTGTTGGTGGTGGAAATGTGGAATAGGAAAAGATGTTTAGTGGGTTAGACATTAAGAGTTTGCATTAGAATTAAACCCAATACGGTTAGTGAGGACCGAATGGTCCGAGCACTTTTCCTATGCCTTGTAAGATTATAAATCATCAGGTCCTTCCCTGAGCCGGGGCAGGAGGGGCGGCTGCCGCCTTGGGACAGGGAGAAAAGGTCCAATATCATAGTTCCATTCTTACATTAAAGGATTCTGCAACACATTAGCAACCAATTTGATTCAATTATCAAACTAGGCTCCTAAAATTACATAATTTTAGGTAGAAAAGGTCCAATTTCATAGTTACGTCCTAACATTAAAGGCAAATTTGATATACAAATCAAATTAGGCTTGACAAAATCACATAATTTTAGATAGAAAAGCTCCAATTTCATAGTTACATTCTAACATTACAGGCAAATTTGATTCAATTATCAAATTAGGCTGAAAAAACACATAATTTTCATCTCTAGCAACAAAATCGCTCGTTATGATCTTCTATAACCTTAGTAATTATAATCAATAGTTCAATAATCGACTTTAAATGAACCCTAAATTGATTATAATGACAACAGAATAACGATAAACCCTAGATTGTGAAATTGATATTCGATGATTACAAAATGAAACAATATCTTACCTCGAAAGGTGCTTCAATGGAGGATAGAAATATGAGAAATCGCCTAAATTGAGAACGTGAAGTTCGCTTCAATAGGAAACTGAGAGAAATAGAGAGCGGGAGGAGGACAGATCTACGTTCATCCGTTTATGAGATTAATCCGTATAAATTTTGTACTCCGTATCTCCTTCGATTCTAAATAATTGCAATACTTGTCTTATTAATCGATTTTTGATAGGAGTATTCGATATGGTTCATTTTATTACCACACGTCCAAGCATGATGCATGTGCACGAAATAATAACTTTTGCGGTATCATTAGTCGACTTTATGTGGGAGTTTTACTAGTCCTATGACACAAAAAAGAGATAGAAAAAGTACTCCTATTTAGTATTTACAGGTCATTTTTTTTCCATCGTTGAATGTGTGTGAACTTTAAATATTCATTGTTGAATTTTGATTGATTGGTGCCTAAGAGAGTTGGGTTTGGTTAATTTTTGTCAAAGCCCTCCGTACAAGGAATCAATTTTGGGATGCTTGGAATATGCATAAGGTTGAATTCTCTTTGTTTGGAATTTGACAATTGGTGTCAATCTAGTCTTCATGAACATGCAACCTCAAAATCTGTAAGGGAATGCAAGTTAGGAATATCGTGGATGATGGATCAAGGATCGCTCTTGATTATAGTGTGTACAACACAATTAAAGATCCATCAACCTGTTTGAGTGGTTTGAATCATTTTGTTCGGAAAACTGTCACGTCTAAATACATGCTAATGAAAATTTATACTCTTATGAGCTTGATCATTTAACACAACCTAGATGAGATTTTAGCTTAATGGACCGAACAAGTCCTCAATTAGTGATTAACTAGGGTAAATTGCCAATTGAAGTAAAGATTTCTAGTTAAATAGGAATGCTAATTCAATTAGCGGTTTAATAGTAACAAAAATGCCTATCACAATTGCATTATCTATATTACCTTTTTTTTTTAAAAAAAAAACGGTCATTGAGTTAGTTGTTGTTCTGAGGACCACTATTTCAATAAGCTATTAACAGAGTAAATTGCCAATTGAAATTTTTAATCAGCAATTAAAAATTAAACAAATTAACGGTTTTAATAGTAATGAAATGCCCATTTTCAATTAGACCATCAATTTTATCTTGGACAAAACCGTTAAATTAACAATTTTATCTTGGCCAAACCGCCTAGTGAATTAGCAGTTTATTTTAAAGAAAAGTTGTTATTTCAATTAGCGATCTTATCTCGAACCTATACAAGAGAAATTCAATATTTGCAACTATTGACGTGGACGGTAAATCTTCAATTATGTTAAAAAGGGACACAACCATGAAAATATGACAGCTTCTACAAGTGTTATTTACGAAAAACCCGTTCTTGTGTATCTTTATATTTAATTCTTAAGAGTAATGTCATGATCTTTTTGCCTTAAAGTAGCCATTAATGTCATATTGGGTGGTGTAAACATATTGATCTACCTTTTCGATTTTTGCTTAGTTTATTAATGGATAGTATTATTAAAAAAATTATTAACTTAATTCAACCTAGTCATTCAATAATCGCATGCCAAAAAAAATGTTGCACTTTAAGATCTTGCTTCAAAAACAAATTTGATCTTGGAGTTTGTTTCTCATGTGTTTCAAATTTAACTTATCCTCATTTCAATTGTATGCCAACAACTTGACTAGTCAAACAAATTACTTAGAAATTACTCAACCTTGTAATCTCGACAATGATTTCCAAAATTCTTAATTGTTTATGTCCCTTTGAGAAGCTTCTATTGGAAGATCATATTTGTAAGGCTTTAAATAGAGAAGTCAAAAAATAAATGTCAAATCATAACAACACCACCTCTTTTATTACAATATAATGATGGAAATAATACTCTTAATAAAAAAGTATACACCTCATATACATATTATCAAATCATAATAATAATAATAATAATAATAATACAAAGCAAATTACTCAATTCCAAAAAATTAAAAAAGAAATTCAAAAAGATGTATGTATTACAAAATGGGTGTGGTGGTAGTACAACCGTACAACAAATTAAAAATCGCACATGGAAACAAGAAGAGCGTGAATAAAGACAGTCCAAAACAAGACCAAATAATTTGGACCTATCTAAAAGGCTAAAGCGTGTGAAACGACGACGTATAACACCGCAAATAAAGCAGGAATAGTCGGTAACTTTGACATTGTTGCGTCTGAAGAGTCACCATCTGTTGGTGATGTTTTAGATCCACTTCCTGCAATTTCACATTTGTGCCAGGAATGAAATACTCGTGCTCGTGTTAATGCATAGGATAATTCCAGTTTATTTAATGACAATGTGATGTTATTTTAGTTCCCCTTGATATGATCATGGGTGTATGCGATTTTTTAAGGAAAAGTTAGTAAATTCTTTTTAATGTTTCAAGAACAATGTCTAAAATTGCTTAATGAGTGTCAATAAGTAATTGTTAAAGTTAGGTACAAACCTGGACTTCCTAATGGAGATCCTGCTGGAGAAGCGGCTGTAATAATACCACACAAGAAGTATTAGAATTTGGCAAACTGAATTTAAGGACATACTTTTTTCGTTTTTCAGTTGACATGTTTTGATTTTTTTCTTTTTTTGTTTCTTAATTACTTATAGACTCTACTTAAACTAATTTTTTTTTATGATTTACAAATAAGAATAGGGCAATGTTATATGTAGCTCTTAGGGTTATAAATAAGCATTTAATATATTTCATAATTTGGTATTAACTTAGGAATGCATGACAAAATCACGTGCAAATTAGTGTATTTAATGTTATATTTTCATTTGTTTTTTCAATTTTTAGCTTCTTGTATGCTAACATTTTCCATAAGAAAGGGTAATGTTATATGTAAAACATAGTATTATAATTTTGTTAAAATGTTTAAATGTGTATTTTACATATAAACTTAATTTTTTTACTTTTTGAAAATTAATTATACTAACAGTTAAACTTATGTATTGAAAAACATGAAAAATAAAGGGAGAGTATGTATTGCTTGGGACAAAAGTGAAGCACCCATGACCCGAACTATATAAAAAACTTGTACAAAATAGGTTCCATTTCTAAGAAGTTAATATCTCAACTATTGATTGATTAATCAAACCTAGATTTTATATTCCTCCAAAAAAAAAAAAAAAAAAAAAAAAAAAAAACTAGATTTGAATTAACTCATGAAATAGCATAAGGAAACTTCTAAAACCCATATGCAAATTAAATAAACAAATTAACCACAAACCAATAAAACCAAACAAGAAATCAAACATATGAACCATCATCACATTGATATTTCTATCTTGTTAAGTATAGTGTTAATAAACGATTACTTCATGTCTTCATGATGAATTATATGATAGAATTTATAAAATTAAATAGGAGAAAACACAAAAAAGAAAAAAAAAATCATATGGTAAACTTACCTTTATTACAACGGCTAAGAGGAGGAGTCTGAACATTGCAAGCATTAGGAAGAGTCAAAGCTTGAGTTTGGTTAATGTTAAGCCCAGCAGCCAAGCCCGAGGCTCCACCGTTAAGAACCTCGCACAAGCATTCTGGTGAGGACTTAACAACATTACCTAGCTGGCTGCAGCAGCTTGATGAGGGCGTCGACGAGTTCCCGGTGATGTAGTTTAAGCAAGGTGACAACGTGACCAACACATTGGTGCAAGCACCACTAATCCCTGACGAACTCGGTTGAGCCATTGACATAGCCCACATTGAGCTAATTGCTAGTACCAGAACCATGACATATTTTGGTGACACCATAATTATTTTTTCTTTGAGAATTTGATAGTATGTGTATTTTTGGTGATGTATAATTATTGTATGCAGTATGAATGTATAATTATATAAGTAAATGAATTATATTATGTGGGTATTTAAAGAGGAAGCTTAGAAGGAAAGGAACAAGTAAAGTGGTTTGTAATAGGTGAACAACCTTTTTCCTACTATACCGAAGATGCCTTTGTTAAAGGTTGAACGATTATTATTTTTATGTTATTTTCTTTGCTTTTGTTTGATTATTCAAAATTAAGCTTCAATTACGTGTCTTTCTTGTTTGTCTCTAGAATATAAGATGACTTAGATGGATCGATGATGCCTTACGAGTTACGACCAAAGCAATTGATTATAAGTATTTCGAGTGAGTTTCTTCCATCTTTCCATGCAATTTGATACCAAAGTACTATATTAACACGTCTTTTTCCAAATGATGTTACTGTTTGCAAGGTAATTTAGAAAATATGAGATATATTGTTTATGTGGTGGTTGAATGGGATATAATTAAAAATTGTGCGGTTAAAGTAAGTAAGATGGAGTTTATAAGAATTGGTAGGAGTAAAAGAAGTGAATAAAATAAGTGAAAAAGTGTAAATATAATAGCATAAAGCAAAGTATTAAAAATTCTATTAAAAAAAACAAACCCTTAAGAAAATTTAAAATATTTCAGAGTACCAAAATGTAAAGTGCATGTTATTCCCTTCATTTCGTAATAATCACAACAGTTTGACTTTTACACTATTTATATACTTACTTTGATAATACTTTTTATTAAAAATATGTGTACTCATGTAAAATGTTTTTAGATTAGTCTTTATGTATATTTTTATCATATTAACCTTTTATACTTCTTAAAATATATATTTATTAATATTAATGATTAAAATTGTATATTGATATGTGTATCAGTCAAAGTGTTGCGATTAATATGAAACAAAGGGAGTAGAAAATTTCATGGAGTACTACAAAATACTACGTACTGGTTTATAGATTTTTTGTTAGGAGTGTCTCATAATATACTTTTCCATAGTGATTTTAATCAAAATTCTATGGGTTGACTACTCATATATTCCTAAAATTCGTGATAGTTATATTAATTTTATATGGAAGCATATACGTATTATAATTTATAAGTAAAATGGGGCTGCTGGTAAACTCATCAAATGGAGTCCGATTCCATACGACCATACCAAACATATGTACATTTCTGGAGAGTCAACAAAACTAACGTGAGGTTATTGGCTTCCTTTTTAATTTAAACCTATTTCAAAATTCAACATCCACCACTTTGTCAATGGAAATTACGAGCACGTAGGAAGCATAATTGAAGAAAGAGTGTTAAGGATTTCTTGAATGTCCTCTATTTTTTAATATTCATTTTTGAAGTTTCATGCTTACCGATGTATAATATATTTTATACTGAGTAATATAATGCTTTTTATTGTCTTATACGTAGTATTAGAAATTACCGACAAAAAAGTTGATATCTAAAAAAAATTCTACTTATATAACAAGACGAACAAGGTCTAATGTAAGCATATTATTTTAACATTTAAATGACAAAACAGTAAAAGGAATGCATGCGAATAATGTAAAATTTTAAATGTTTACAAAACTTTATTGTAAACGTTACATTTCTTAGCGGATAATGGCTTAGGGCTAAATGGCCAGTTCTCCAACGTGTAGTTGTGGAGGTTAAGCAATTGGGAATGTAAGAGTTGTGGAGGGTAAGCAATTGGGAATGTAAGGAAATCCATGGAAAATCCGAATATGTTGAATTCATATGGCTTTTTATGTATAAAAGTGATCAGAGCAATACACCAACAAGCTGATCTAAATTTAGAATCTTCAATATTTTAAGCACGTTTTTAACTTCAAATTGCAATATCAGCAGAAACACTCAAAGTGATGAAAAGAAGGAATAGAGTAAAATGGATTTGGAATTCGGTCATGCTCCCATTAGATGTGTTCTTAGAATCCGATTTCGGTCCTGTTCCTGCATTATATAAATTCACCAATTAATAGCTAGTGAAAATTTTCATTATAACGTTCAAGATTGAAATATGTCAAAATGCACTTATTCTTTGTTTAAGGTAATAGCTCAGAGTTAATTTGTATGAACTCGTTTCCCCAAAGATTTTACTCAGAGTTAATTTGTATGAACTCGTTTCCCCAAAGATTTTGATGGAGCATGATCTGCAATAATAACTAAATAAGTCGGCCTAATTATTTCCAGCAAAAAAAAAAAAAAAAAAGATCCCTAACCAGTCTTCCACCCTAATGATTTCTAGGAAAGGGTAAGGGATTTTCACCTTCAAATACCTACAGCAGGCTACAATAATAGAGACCTTGTGATCTCAAGGTTATAAGGTAAATTCCTAACCAACTACACTAAGCTATACACCAATTGCTCTAATATACGTACGTACCCTCTGGTTTTGAAGCATTAGAAGGAAAAGCAGATAGGGAGAGTCCTGCAGGAAGTTTATTGCATTCGCTAACAGGTTGAGTTTTAACGTGACAGACTCTAGGGAGGGATTCAGCCTTGGTCTTATTGACGGGTAGTCCAATTTCAGAGCCATTGCCTTTGAGGCCAACACAAAGACACCAAGGTTGTGATTGAACAATAGCATGTAGTTGCAAGCAGCACGAAGAGGTCGGGGTGGAAGAGCTTCCCGTGATGAAATCAAGACACGGCGATAAGCTTACTAGTGCATCTTTGCACGCTAGTGCATAATCATCTCCCAGGGCTACACCCGACAACATGGTTATGACTAGCACCAGCGCGACTAGTGAGGCCATTCTTATCTTGTGTTACGATTACAAAAACAGAACGTCTAGCACTTTTCTTGGTTATATTTTTTCTCCCCTTGAAAATGTTCAGGAAAGTAAAGAGGATGAGTTTTATAGGGAGGTGGTTAACATAAAAAAGAAAAAAAAAGGGGTCAAAACTAATGTCTAATTTAGGCATGTAAGTGAATTAACTAGGTTCAAGTTTAGTTAATATGCCAGGCCTAGTATGTCTAGTGTTTTATCATTAATTGCTAATTTTTCTTTCATTTGGGGTACTAAAAATGGACATTAAAGCTGTATACCCTATAATTCACATTGCTGATGAAAAATTCTAAAGTAATAGTTCTGTAACCAACTTGAATCCAACTACTTTCTTATTAGTAAATAAAGTAATCTGCTATATTTCAAAGTTGATATGTTTTGCACAAGTGCCTTCTATAATCCATTTCTCACAAGTTTTCATGTACATTACAGTAAATCCATAATATTGTTCCTTTGGCAAGAACCTCATATTACCAATCAACATTGAGATTGCCTGTTTGGTATACGTACGTACTCTTTTTGTCCTCGAATAATCAGCCACATTTCTATTCTATATCAACTAGACAACCACAATCATTATGCTGTTGTATTTTTTATTAAATTAAACATTGTAATTTGCTCTAGCCTCTAGGACGTCTTTTCTTTAGTTGAGATGAAAATATTTATATAGTCACAGATTGAGAGATGATTGTGATATTTTAATTCAAATATCACAGAATTTGACGAAAAAATAGCTATTTTAGTGCCGAAAGGAGAATTCCTCTTTAAATGACAACATGAAGAAATTGATAATTAAGACACTTATATGGTAAAAGATTGATAGAGACACCTTAAAATTAATCTTAAAAGTGTGGTACAACTTTATTAATTTCAATCAAGCAAACAATATTACACAAACTGCTCAACAAATTCAATGACAGGGCCACAGGGGAGCCAATATGGTCCCAAAAATCACTCTACAACCATGACAAATTAATAAATATAGTACAATCACATACATAAATATTGCTAAAGGATGCTACAAAATGGCTCAAAAAATTGCCAAAGCTGAAGTACAGGATACAATTGAGAGTATAAAAGACAGCAGATAAAGGGAAGATTTAGTGGTGCTTCCATTTGATTCATCAGTTGATGGTACTGTCTTGGATCCAGACCCTGCAACAATAAAAGAACTTATATCAGATTCTTGTTTTTTCGGGTTTTGTGTAAAAAATATTTAAAAGCTCATGTATGTACCTGAGGGAAAATCAGCAGATGGGCCTTCAGGTTCTGCACCTGGTTGTCCTGCTGCTGGAGTACCTGCTGGAGCTGCACCTGAAGCTGAAGGTGTTCCTGTTCCTATTTACATAAAGAGCGCGATTTTATTATATTAGTGATAAGATTGTGTACTAATCCGTATTAGGCTTCCGTTACTTAAAAGTGTACATGTAGGGAAATTTAGTTGTATACAGTATTATGAAGAAGTAATCAGTCTTATTTGAATGGACAAAAAACTTACCACCACATTGACTAACAGGTGGAGTTTGTACATTGCAAGCATTGGGGAGGCCGAGAGCTCGGGTTTGGTTGATTGCAACACCTAAAGAGGAAGCTGCCCCACTGCTGAGAGCCGAGCAAAGGCACTGAGGCTGTGATTGGACAACGTTGGAAAGAGCCGAGCAGCATGAAGATGCAGGGGAAGAGGAGTTGCCGGTTATGAAGTTAAGGCAAGAGGACATGCTAAGTAACACACTTGTGCAACTGTTGCCGCCTGATTGAGCTTTTACTCCATTCCATGTTAAGGCCATTACTAAAACTAGGAGCACTAAACATACTTTAGATCCTCTTGAAGCCATTTTGCAAGTAAAAACAAAAGTAATAAAAAAAGAATTGATTAAAGGAGGGAAATTGAAAATTAGTTGAATTTAGATGAGGATGATTATTTTGGGAAAGAGGGGGAAGGTTTTATAGGATTATTAGTTGGAAGTGGACAACAAAGTGCAGTTAAGTTTGGGTGGCCAAACCAATATTTTGTTCATATGGTTAGTTCAACAATACAGTTTATTTATATCACTTGCATGATTTAGCATATTATTTACATATACTAGTTAGTCCTGTCTGATTTTCTTTTATTCAATTCCTACCTATCATGTATTCTAGTATGAAATTATTTGGTATGACAAAGTAGATTTAACAAAAGGCATACGTATCTTGAATTCTTGAGAAACTAGTTTATGTCATACTAAGATTCTCGATAATCTAATTTCACAATGATAAGAAACAAATTTTATTTAAGAGTTTTTTTTCTTAACCCCTTCCGTCTGAAATTAGTTGTCACATTGTAATGTCAGAAATCACTCCTAATCCATAAAACAATATTAAGTGACATGATTGTATGGAAAGATAGATCCTCTATAATACTACGTAGTTGACTTTCTTTTATCACCTATCAATCATTTCTGCAAGTAAATTTCCAATCAATAAAAGCAGTTGCCATTTATGCTCAAGGAGTCAAGGGGTAACAATTCAATCAAGTCACAGTAAAGTAAACTTGAAATATGCTATAATAACCATGAAAATAACACTTTTTTTTTTGACACAAAAATAACAATCTTTCAATTATAATCTTCACCTAACATTCCAAACACAACCAAATCATTTCCTTATAAAATTTGGACAAACAAGTAGTATAAAAAAAAAAAAAATAAATAAATAAAAAACATTAGAACCTTCCACTCATATCTTTCCACATAAGTCAGAGGCAGTTGGTCTCACTACAGAAATACTCTGCTTTTACTCAGAACAACACTCAAAATACACTTCCACTCTATAAATTACTCATTTGTTTTGTAAGTTCTTCACCACAAAAATTCAGCAAAACAAAAAACACTAACAGAAAAGTACTAAAATCAAGTAAATGGATAGTTTTAATTTTACCTCATCAAAAGTAGCATTATCCATCTTAACTTATATTTTAGTAGTAAGTTCAGTGAATGGGCAGGTGACTACACCATGCACAGCCTCAATGGTAGCCACCTTCACCCCATGCATGAACTACCTCACCGGCAGCACGGCCAATGGCTCATCTCCATCGTCGAACTGCTGTGGTGCCTTGAGATCAGTGATGAGCAGTAGCGTCGACTGTGCTTGCCTCATGGTCACTGCAAGTGTTCCTCTGCCTCAACTTGTTAACAGAACTCTTGCACTTGGACTCCCTAGGGTTTGTAAAAGTGGTGGTGTTCCTATTAAGTGTGAAGGTAACTGGCCTCATTTCATGACCATAATTTTATAAGATTAGATTTTTAGTTTTGATTTTATATTGTCAAATCGTTAATTGGGTTGGTGTTTTATGTCATCTTGCAGCTTCTGGTAGTCCTCTCCCTGCTCCAGGTACAATTAATATGATTATTTTTCTTACCTACACTATGTCCGGAACTATAATAGTCACATTAATAGTGTAATACGAATAATGTAAAATTAAAGTTGAAATCCGGATGGACAAAAAACTATTGATATTCAGCTTTGAGTTTTCATCAATATTGGAATGACCTGAATTATGCATGCACTTAATTATTTCACATGATTTTCTAATCAAATGTTTTTACATGTAATTTAATTAACAGGTCCTCTGCAGTTTGGAGCAACTCCTCCAGCAGGAGCCTCACCTAGCCCAGCATTTAGTCCCCAAGGTACGAATATTAAAAATCTGATTGACAAAACTTATCTGACTCATACTCAAACTAATCAAACTGGGTGACTAGAAAATTACCCGAATCAAAATCATTAAATCAAATGTGGGTGAACTAACTAATTTCCCATAATAAGTTAAGATTAATTGGAGTATCTACTACCAAAGCATAACGGCCTATGCATAATCATAGTGTTTAATAAAATCATCATGCTACACATATTAAGAAACGGAAAAAGTATCAATATAAAAATATGAGACTTAATTCTTTGAATGTTTGTATTTGAAAACATGAATCTAGCATCCGAAGCAACAGCCTTTACACCAGCACCCGAACCAACGGGCACAGAAGTATCACAGGTGGTGGCGCCATCAACGGTGGATGTCGAGGCACCATCCTCAGTGGAAGTTGAGGCACCATCAAGGACTCCTAGAATTCGACCAGTGTTGACCCCATCAACCTCAAGTGTATCCATGATCCTCTCATCATCAGCTACTAATATTTGGGCATTTCTAATGGGATTCATGTTATTCATGTTGTAACGTAACATATTTGTACGTATATATCAAATTAAAGATTGTGCGGTCGAGTTCTCCCATGATCCATAGGTCTCTTGTATGTTGTATTGGGTTCAAAATTGTAATAATAAAATTACAAATTAGGGTGAAAGAGATGATAGAATGGTTTGTATATTATTGATTAGAGTATTTATACAAAACCTAAGCTTATAAGATAGGAAACAATCTTCCTAAAACATATATTAGCATAACCATAAATCCTAAATATATATATTCTCTAAATAATATCTTAAATATAAATAATCCTAAATATATTATTTTCTTAATGATATCTACGGAACGATATATTTTCCGATATCTCATATCTCTAACACCCTCCCGCAATCGTAACGGCAGTAACATGAACGTTGCGATTGGAAATTCTTCACTTTGTTGAAGCCGAGATGGACTACTTTGGTGATGTTGCCTTCACTTTTTTTTTGAATGATGAGAACGTTCAGCTTTTCTAACCCATCAATCATCAAATAAACAAACAGGAATGTCATTTTTTTCGAACCTGTAAAAATAACAGTACAATGAGAACGACTCTTCTTCTCGAACTCGTCATATGCTTGCCCTGTCGTCTTAAGGTATAATGTCATGTCGTCTCAAGGTACAAGGAAACCAATATGCTTGTCCTGTTGTTTCAAGGTACAAGGAAACCAATACCTTGTCTCACGGCACAAGGAGAACCCATATGTAAAACCCTGTCTCATGGCATAAGAAGAACCAATATATCTTATCTCACGACACAAGAGAGTTATGAAAATAAAATAAAAAAAAAACCTAGATCGATGCCACATTGTCACCTATCTTCTTCTTTGAGAATCAAAGACCTACACATGACCCACCAACATCTTAATCATCTTAATCAAGCCATTCATGATATAAAATCATCAAACTCTTCGGGAAGCTTTTTTTTTTTTTTTTTTTTTTTTTTTTTTTGGAGAGAAAAAAAATATATATTATAGTTTTGACGAAAGGTTTATCCCACCGGTGGGTTTAATTTCCAACCCACCGGCAGGGGGGAATTTTTCTGAACGATCCCAAAATCTAACCTGCTCTTGATACCTTGACAAATTTGGGGAAAATAATTCTCTATATTTTCTCATTGTATTTTCCCATTCATAATATTCGGCCACATTACAATAGACAATAGGAATATCTAATCCTAATATTCCTAAATATCTTAACTTCCTAAATCTATTCACAATATATCACATATATCTTTTTACAATAATATTTCATATGATATTATTCTCATAATATCATATCACAATATATTTTCCTATCTCAATACCCTACCTCAAGTCAGAGGTGTAGATCTCAAATGTCCGACTTGGACAATAAAATAAAATCTGCATCTTGTTGTCATCATTAAGCTGCAATATGTAATCATAAAACGATCCGTCAAAAATCACAAAAAAAATCTTCTTGAACTTGAATACTTGATCATGCCACGTTCTTCATCTTCATTAAAATCATCAAATTTCACCATGATCAACACAGTCACAAAAAATCGATTTCTCATTAAAAAAAAAAAAAATTGTGAACTCTCACAATAATTCTCACACTATTATACATAAATTAAGATTTTTCTTTTTGAAGAATACATTAATTATGGATAAACGTATAATTTAATTCTACAATATATATATATATATATATATATATATATATATATATATATATATATATATATATATATATATATATATATATATATATATATATATATATATATAGAGTAAACTCTCACAATCATTCTGTATTGGACAAGTACAATTAATAAATAATGCGTACAATTGATCACTCCTCTTACACGAATTCTCGTGTTTGAGGGTTTTTTTTGTGTTTTTTCCTTTCATGAGAAGGTCATTCTTTTCGAGCCCATCAATCAACAATTAGGAACGTCATTCTTTTTAACATGCAAATTTAATATATATACTCCCTCCGCCCACAATTATCTGCAATAATCCTATGTGTGATATATTTAGGATTATATTTTCCAATATAACTAAATATATTATTCTCTTAATAATATTTACGGAAAATATATCACACATATATCTGCAACATTTGCCATAAATGGGTGCTCTTTATTATGTGCAACAAATTTTTTTCTTTCCTCTTTTAGTAAATTTTAAAGAATAAAAAGACCACCTTACCTTACTAATATTATTAACTTTGTTTAACATCTTTTAATTACACTTACTTACCAACTAATTACCACCTTACCCCAGCCACCTTCGCCGCCCCTACCACCAGCCCAGAGCACCACCACCACCACGACAAGACCCCAAATCGTCGCGCAATTCTCCGACCATCCCCTACCCCAAATCGTCGCGATAAGATAGGAAACAATCTTCCTAAAACATATACTAGCATAACCATAAATCCTAAAAATATATAATCTCTAAATAATATCTTAAACATAAATAATCCTAAATATATTATTCTCTTAATAATATTTACGGAAAATATATCACACATATATTTTCCAATAACTTATATCTATAACATAGAATTTGTTTAAAAGCTACTACTAGAATCCTCAAATTTGACATGTCTAATTCCACTTAAGCAATAATTGATATGTATTTTTGGTTTTTTCTTGATGATTTTGTTAAGAGAATAACTCCCGTGTGGTTGTGAATGGCAAAAGAGACAAATAAGAAAAATGGGTTACTCCTCATAGCTTAGATTCATATTACCAAATTTTTTTTTTTTTTTTTTTTGGTACTATCATATTACCAAATTAATAGATTTAAAAAATATAATTATGTTGGGATTATATATGGTCAAACTCTCATCTGATGCAGGCTTGAGCAAAAATGTGAACAAGTAAATGTTGACTCCTTGGCTCAAGATATTAATAATTGTCTAGCTTGAATATCTCATGCGTTGTCTTATCTCATTAGCACCCTTAATTAGCTTAATTAGTTTGATCACCACACACAACTAAGCTAAGTCCTTTTTACATACATTTTGTACAATTGGAACCCTAAACATAAGGATAAAACGCCTGGCAAATTAGAGTTGCCATGAAGAAAGATAGATTATAGGACGTTAATTAACAAAAATTAGAGGCTTAAAACATTAAAACTCCTAGCTTTTAGCCAATCTAATAGCACTAAATAAAAAGTTCACCATAAAATTGCCCACATTTTAAGGCTTTTAATTTGTCCAAAAATAAGCACTCCACCATATATATAACCTAGGCTCTTCTCATGCAACAAATTAAATATATCACACACGTACTGTTTATTTCAAAACAAAAGATAATTCGTACATAAACTAAAAAATGGCCGCTAACAAGTTTGTTGCAATGTTTATGATGTGCATGATTGTGGCCGCCGCCATGAACTTGGTGGTAGAGGCCGGTGATCCTAATGGTGCCGGTACGGAGGTGTACAAGAAATGTTTCGCTGACTGCCAAAACTCTTGCCAGGGAGGTGAAACCCATTGTGAGATGAGTTGTGACGAAAAATGTGATGAAGAGGAAACCAGGGGTATGTTTATCAATTGGGATATTAATCATTACATAGCCTATAATTCTTTGATTAGCTTTATTTCATGGTATATATTATGGTTGTTAAATGGTGGCAAAATAATTTTTTTAAGGTGTTAAATTATAAAAAAAACATATAATTCCTCCGTTTTTTTTTAGTTAACACGTTTTTTTAGTCACGTTTGTCAATTCACAATTTCAACCATTAATATCTTTAATTACCGATAAACAAAAATTATAAAAAGTTGATATTATGAAAATATATATCGTGACGAATCTAACAAGATCCCACATGACTATATTTTTCATTACGTATAAAGCACAAAACACGGTAAAGGGGAGTGAGTGAATAGTGCTAAAGTCAAAACGTGTCAACTAAAAAAATAGAGGTAGTATATATTTAAGAAAGTAAAAATCAAAATCAGGTTTTTAAAGGTGGTAAAAAAAAAAAAAAAAAAAATCTTGTTATCTTTTCAAGTCGAAATAAAATACGGACTAGATTGATTATGGTTCGATTTTACTTGAACATTAGAATATGAAGAATGTTTTGGTTCAATATACGTTGTCAAAGTTCTTTATATTGGCTTATGAGGCACAAAATATAGTAGCGTAGATAGGGGTTTGATTATAGGTCTTGAGTATCACCCTTTAACCAATTACTTTATGGAGGACCTTAATTTAATGTTGCTAAGCTAATTTGTGTATATTTTCTTGTTACAGCAAAAGTAAATGGAATGGGGAAGACGTTGAAGTTAGACTAAATATGAAGCGATGGTTTATACGAAGACGAAAGATGATCTAAATTACTGAGGAAATGATGCACGTCTTCGTTTAGAAACAATCATGATTTGTAGCATTATTCTGTTTAATGTGCCAAAAGAAAGTAAAAGAAGAAAAAATGAATAAATAATAAAAATGTACTTTATTTTTTAGCTTATAAATCTTTAACTCGTGGATAATAGGTGTTTTATTATCCATTAGGAAACTGCTTCATTTTGAGAAATTTTATATACACTATTTTTGGTGTTCGAGATTAAACTTTATTTTCTAACCTTTGTTTGTACTGCTAATTTTCCCTTTAAATTTGGGTTAAAATATAGTTCTAAATATTATACTACGTAGATATCAATTTTATATAATCAATGTTATTACATTAGTCTTAATTTTATACTTTGCATATATACTTCCTCCGTTTCATATTAGATGACACATTTCATTTAGGCACGTTTGCCAATGTACACTTTCTAATGCAAATATATTTGATTACATATTAGCAATTATAAAAATTTGATATTAAAAAATTAGATGTTGAGACGAATCTAACAAGATCCCACATTATTATACTTTTTCTCAACACGAAATCACAAAACAAAGTCAAAACAAGTTATGTGAATAGTGCACAAAGTCAAACTGTATCATCTAATTTGAAACGGAGGAAATACATTTTTTTTTTTGTCTCTATTATTAATGGAGTACAATAATTAGTACTACATACATATGATATGAGACTTAGTATAACAAAAAGATCATTAGTTATTAATTAATTTTAACGATTTAAACTTTGTTGTTTTGTTCTATTCAATTCATTGACCTTGAATTAATTTGAGTTGATCAAAATATGAATGATAATGATCTTGCTATATATTTATTGTCAACCTTAAGCTTGGTCTTTATCTTAATAATATTACCCTCCGATCCAATCCCATAATTAATCAAAAATAGAATAAATAGTCTTTCATTTCTTAGGTTATCTTCCTCGATCAGTTTCGACGAATTATCATCGTACATCTGTCATGACCAGCAATATTTGACAATTATTATTACTACATTATCAAATACTTACTAAAATAAATTGTAGATATGGACAAAATTCAATTACGGATTATCTTATAAGATTAACGTATATGGTTTGCATTGGGATTTGTCTAAATAGTCATATCTCTTCCTCAAGAAATGGCGAACTCTATGCCTTGTTCAATGTTAATCTTCCTGACTGAATCCTTGTAACCCAATCAATGCCTACTAAGTTATTAAGACTATATTTTCAAAAATTATTCCTGGCTATGTTGCATTATTTGCCAAAGTAATTTTTAATACTTTGTATACTATATACTTTTTCCGTTTCTTTAGGAATTGCACAATATTTTACTGAAAAAAAAAAATTAGGAATAACGAACTCATGTGATGATAGGCTGACGATGGAGAGAAGTAATGTATTTATGTGCAAATATGAAAACGTTTCAATAATTAAAAACATAATTACGTAGATTACAAGAAAAAATTGTTTCATTCAAAGAATGAAAGGAGGAAAAATTGTATGCCTTGTTTAGCTGTCTATCCTTGCCTTCTTGACTGCTTGTTATCGACTCAACATCTATTAATCCGTAATTAATTAATCTATCTACTAATAGAGTATATGATAATGATAATAATAATAATAGTTATTCAAAAAAAAAAGAGTACATGATAATACTACATATGTATTTTAAAATACATATGGAGTACTTAGTATGTTGCACTATTTGCTATAAATAAACGAGGTGCTATTGCTAGCCAAACCACAACTCAAATATTTCTCCACATATTCTAATAGTTAGAGTCAAGAAATAGTGAGAAAGCTAGAAAGAGTTTGATAGGCATGGCAAAGGGTACTTACATTCTAAGTATTCTCATCGTCTTCTTCTTCTCCTTAGCCATTGTTGCTCACTCTGTAAGACCCTAACTATACATCAAATTTTATCATCGTTAAAAGTTCTTAATCTTTTGCATATTTTTGTTAGTTATTGATTCATGCATGAAACTAGCTAATTAAGCTAGATGAGCCTATATATAATAAGTCTAGTCACACACTAGTTGATCCTCGAGTATTAAGATGTTGTTTGGCACTATATACTCCTACGTAGCTGTATACATACCTCTCTTTTTCGAACTTTTGATTATTTTTTTTCACCTTTTGAGGTCTAATATCTGCGTATTATGATTATAAAGGTTGTAAAAGATTTAATATTGTGAATGCACTTCCAATTACAAATGATCTAGCAATATGTATATATACACAGAAGTTTTATATATATCATGGTTAATTTTTCATTACATAGCGTAGGAAGACATCGATCATAAAGCAAAAACATTAATCATTCGTAAACGGAGGGAATATATCCAACTTTTGACTACATAATCCATACACTACTAGTACACTATTACTACTACATGAGTTGACACCATTTTTTGTGCATATGCAGTCATGTACGTATAACGTGAAACTAAAGACCGGAAATGTGGAAAGAGCTGGAACAGATGCTAGGATTTTGCTTCGTCTGTATGACAAGAATGGCAATTCAATAGATGCTCCAAGTTTGAGAAGGTATAGGGATGGACCAGATTCAAGGGACTACTTTGAGAAGGGTCAGTTGGACAAATTTAAAATCCCCGGAAGATGCCTCAAAATTTGCAAAATGGAATTGAGCCACAACAATGGTGGTGATCACCCTGGCTGGTACGTTGACTACTTGGAAGTCACCGTTGTTAACGACCAGACGGGGAAAAGCTCCGCCGTAAAGAGGTTCAACATTAAGCGATGGCTTGCCAAAGATGCACCTCCTTATTACTCAACCTCAGTCGTCAAGGGTAAATGCTAAATTGCTTATTTGAATGACTCTAAGGTTACATGTATGGCTAAATTATGCTCGTTGCTTTTAAAAATGTAATAACTTGAATAGCATATGCAGTTATAAATACTTGTATGCTATAACATTCTCCGGATGTTGTCTATGGTTCAATTTCTTAGTTCGTGTTTGTGTTGTTATCCTCCAGGAAAGAACGGGTGATGAGTATGTGTACATTCGTTCTATATGTATCTGTAATAATAATATCCGTGTATGTCTTGTTCAAATTTAAGTATCGTGTTACATTATGTTTGTTTAATTATTGTAATATATTTTCTCCTTTTTCTTTACTTGTAACACAACCTTATGATGACGCGCACTCTGAGAAAGAAATTAGGTAATGCAACCAGATAAATTAATCATAATAATAAATGCACATACTACTATCTAACCTTTTCCTATTCTTGATGCTAAAATTATTTCAAAAAGTCATACGTTCACCTTCTCTAATCACCTCTTAAAAATACACGTCTTTTGCAGTTTAGCTATGATGCAAGTAAAATAACTGTATAAACCTGAAGCATATCATGATCGAAGAAAACAGTAAATCTATAATAGTAGTACAGAGTACCTGACAGTATCGCCTCATTTAGGTTAAATCTTTCAACCAATCTGGCCAGAGGGATTTCTCCTGGGTGCCAAGCCCTTTCAGAAATTGATTGTCGCAACCCCTTATAAGCATAGAAATTGAGGAAAGAGACAGCGGTCACAACTCACATATAAGACAGCTAAAAGTTTTAGGCATTAATTCACATCAGCTTAAGCAGAAGCCAGAAGGCAGTCACAAGTAAAAGAAGGGAGGGATGCACAAAAGTAGAAACAAAAATCCTTGCCCTAGAATTTGCCACAAGAGCAAACTTCTCTGGCCTTTGACAGAGATTCTGAATTTGAAACGTTCCAAATTTTATACGATTAGTGATTTCACAAAAAAAAGAATCTATACTATCCTCATAATATGCTTTAATCAAATTGCCGAATTTTGGATTGAGGGAAAATTTAATAGTACTCTCAGGCAGCAAGTACCTATACAAATATGTCAGTCATCCACTTCCGACATGATCTCTCTTCAGCTCTTCCAAATACTACTTGAAAGCCCCTGAGAAGATTCTCACGGTCCCATTGTCCACCACCAAGATTTGACTATGCCCCCCATCCTTACACACACAAGTAATCAACTGAGAATCATGACTAACAGGGACAACTCTGCCTGTAAATTCATCCAAGGCATCTGCCAGGGCGTAGAGCCGTAGATGTTCTGCATGTCCTAGGGATTGGTTAGTCTATCCTATGACACCTGAGCTTTTTGACCCCCTGATAACTTTGCAATTGGGGTCAGACCTCTTCTTCACTCATTCCCTCTTGCTCTGCATGGAGACGTAAAATAACCACTGATGTTTCATGTATTGTCTAAAAATCCACCAAGTGCTGCAGATATCTTCCAACCCTACACACCCCCCCCCCCAAACAGGTTCACGGCAAGAGTATTAAGTAGAGTAATCCATTGGGACCCACAATCACAAGTTGAGTTCCAATATAAACCCCCAACATCTACATTAGGCAATCTAAAATCTAGTGAATTTGGATGACTGAAGCTGATTTTTGAAAACTGCAGGAGGGAAGGAGTAAGCTCAGTAGGATCAGGGAAGTCGAACTCCAGTGTAATCTCTCTAATGTCTTTGGCGCTTTGGCGCTTCAGTCAGCGGCCCATCCTCAACAATGTTACCCTCACCCTTGCTTTTAGATGCTTTCTTTTCTTGTGTAAGCTTAACCCACTCTGACACATTTTGTTGAACTTGATTGCCTGACCTTTTTGTGGCTTTCAATTGCTTGTCATTTGTAATTCAATTTCCTTAATTCATCTGCTAGTTGGTATGATTAGAGACAACATTCTGCTCTTTCTCTCCCTCAGAACCATAATAATCATCTTCATAATTTATAATATCGTTCTTTATCTTCTTGTAGTTTCTGATTAACTTGAACGGGAATGGTGGATTTTTTCAAAGTGTCCATAATATACAAGTGAAACTTTTTCCAAGTTTTCGATATAATGTGCAGCATAGATATAACAGACGGGAGTACGTGGACACAATACAAATTCAAGGGTTTCAGAAAATTGCAGTGTCAGCTGCTTCGAACATAAATGTTGTCAAAATCTCCGTCCACCTTAACAAAATGTTTTACCTCAGCTTTCGTCAAATAAAAAAAACTCAACAATGTGCTTGATTTCAGATATTATCTATACTCTATATCTTGATCAAGTGACAACAGATAATACTAGAAATGGATGTGAAATAATTTGTGACAGAAAAGAAAGGGACAATGTATATTTTAAATCATGAGATATACAGAGGAAAGAGGAGAAACAGTAACCCGATAAATGGGTATGAGCCTCTCACATACTCCTGTGTCATATACCGGTTTTTAATAGAATCTACAATTCTACATGCTATTGACCTTTCTATCTTAATAGAAAAGCAATATCTGGTCAGGAACTGGCTTGCCAAAGACATTTTAACTCAATATGAATGCCATGCATATTCATCAAGAACGACGCTTTGGCACTCCCAACAGAAAATCAGGATGACTGCTCAAAAGAGTAACAAATTATGACAATAATTACCAGTCCAGCTACTTATAAGGCATTTAACTTGGTTTTATGTACAGATTCTAATACAAAAAGAAAAACACTAAAAACATGAACTTGAGGTAACACTGTGTTTGGTTGCAGGAAAAACATTTTCTGCCCAAATAAACACAGCCTGAAGGTGCTATATCTTTCATGTCCTGAATCTTGAATCTCCTGACCAAAAATAATAGTGAATATGCCTAATGTATATGAATCTTAAGTCCCAGTCCCACCAGTATCAAATTTTTGACAATTTCATTGCCAACTAGTTCAGCATATGGCATACACTAGCCATTACCCTTTCAACGAATGCAAAATCCACCCCATCAACAAAGAACAATAAAATGAAATCCGCTGAGAATTGATTGAAGAACCAGTTCCCCTTCACTTGACAGCTACAAGCCTACAACCAAATTACGCAACTACACTCATTGAACTATACAGCCCCTTGTTAGACTAAGCAACTTTCTGTTCAGGCAATATCAGACCGCGATTAATCCAATAGATCATCCAAACGACTATTCGACTAAACACACTTACTAGTCACTACACAATGATAAACAACCATAAAATCGGGTGGCATTTGCACACATATATTTTGATACACTTGAAAAACATCAAAGTGTTTCTTTGCCCACGCAAATGATCAGTATCCCCTCCAATTTGATACATTCATACTTGTATTATTAACAAATACTAGTAGATAAAATTGTCAATTTAATTAACAGAGCAATACTACTTGTCAATGCTAAATTCCAACCCAATATCTAACAACATTTAATTTGTGTATTAACCATATTGATATACTACTACTACGTAATATTGAATTAATGAAATTGACAAAAACAGTTGAGAAATGAATATTAATTCTCCAATAATTTGAGCGTTATTTCCAACACTTCTGCTTAAAGAATACAATCATTATCAACAATCAAAACACCAATTCCAATTTGAATTATACAAGTAGTAATCACTAATCTGAGCGAAAAATAATAATAAAACAAATAAAAAAAAAATGAAATTAAAAGTCAAAATTATACGTAGTTGAAAAAAAGAGGGAGTAGAAAAGAGAAATAGTGATGTTGCCGCTTTATTTCGCTGACTGCTGTTGTTGGCCGGTGGGGAGGATAGAGACTGGAGAGAGAGGGACGGTGATTCTGCTGCTTGTTTCAAGGGTAAATTCTCTAATTTGCGAGATGAAAATTACTTGCCCGAGTATTATACTTCGTATTTAGTAAAGGTTTGGATTTTTAAGAGTAGTGGTTACTGGTTAGAGGGGATAAATTTAGAGGCACTTGCATGTGTGCATTCAAGCTTTGAATGTTTTGTGTTGGGCCCAGGTCACCAATCTTGTTGGCGGTTGGGCCGCACATTGTCCACTTTGAATCTAGCCTGCATAAATTTGTTTTTAGACACTTTTTCAAAAAGTCTCATACTAATTGAACGGTGTATTCACTTATAAAGGAAGTCATCTCTTCCTTCTTCCATGTGGGACTTGGGATGAACAACCCAAACATTTAAATTTCTACTGTAAATAAAAATATGACTATAGTATTAGAAAAATTAATGAATTAATTTTACTTTCGAAAAAAAGAATAAACTTTTCCTTAAGTTTAACATTTTCCTATTTTTTTTTTAAACAATGTACTCTACATATTCTCAAAGACCGAAATTAAAGTAACCGTAAATTGATTAATTAAAAAAAGAGAGAGAGATGATTGTGTACTCTGTACCTTATTATCAATTTCTTTTGAAGACTTTGTACCTAAAACATTAATCTATAAGGATAAGACTAATGTCGTAAAGCCATAAAATATATCCTCAATATGTGAAGTTTCTACTTTTATTTTTAGTAATTGGATAAGAAAGAATATATTCACTAAGAATCGAGGAAGACTTCTTTAAAAATGTTCCAATTTCTTATGAGAGAAAGCTTTAACAGAACCTGTGAAACTTTTACTCGTATTATATAGGTTGAGTTTATGTAGTACTATGTATTACTATATATTTTTGAAGAAAATAATCAACTAGACATCTCAATGACATAATCCGTACTATTTTACTAATATTTGGACAAACATTTGTATGTTATTTAATGGCTAATAATGGCTTGTGAAAACATTTTAGCATACTTCCACCAATTAACAAAGACAATTAAGAACGACAATTGTTGAAATGTCTTTATCTAGTCACAATCAGTAGATTAATTATTCATTAATTAATATATTCTATATACAGTGCTACAAAATTTTGTATTTCATCTAATTATTATAACTCCAAATTCCTTGTCTTTCAAAAATAATCTATACAAGACATCAAGTTAAGTGGGTTTGTACTGAGAAAATAAGGTGATACTCCATAATATGGTAAACTGGTAAGGGGTTTACATGATTTACAACTTTAATTTAGAAGTAACAAGATTTATTCAAATCCAACTAAATACTCGTTGTATTGCTTTATTGAGCTACCAAGCCAACCGATGTAGAGTTAATTATCTTTTTATAACTTGAAAAAAGTCTGATCTATAAAATTAAACGAGATTACCTTGTGAGAAGTTTCAGATTATAAATATATATAAATATATATACAATTACTTCGTACTAGATTAATTGATATAATATTAAGGATACTAA